CGATCTGAAGATCGATTAAGATGAGCGATTAAGATCGTTCCGAGAAGCTTCGTTAATCTCAGGAGGTCGACCGATCGGTGGCTCGGCTCGGCCGTTAATTAATTTCCGGCCTAACGAACTCCCCCGCGTATGATTCCTAGCTTGTCGGCTGTCGTCCCGCGCAGGAAAATCGCTTGCCAGATACGCCCATGCGATCTCTCGTTATCGAGGAAATACGAAACTGTCCGATCGGTGTAATTAAGTTCTTGGATTTCTTCGTTTTCACGCTGGCTTTCCTACCTTTCGATATTTTCTTTCACTCGCGACACTTGGCGCGAGGAGCCATCGTTTTCCAGAAAATTCCTTGATGGTTTATCGATAATCTATTCGATAGAAAGGCGTTAAATGGCTTCTTTCTCGAGTTACTTGTGAAGTTGTCTTTTCATAAAGAAATGGTAATTTGGAGGAAGAATATTCCGCGAATATTCCGATATCGCCAAGTTAGAATATCTTGCGAATAATTAGCGGTGCCTGTGGATGTAACGTAAGAATATTAAGCGTTTCTATATGCAATATTTTATGCAACTATTCTATCCCCATATCTCCATATTTTTGCAAGTTGAATTTTTGAATTATTTTGAATTATACTTTTATACGGAATTATTATCACTTTAAAAAGTCAAAAGAATATATGGAATTAAAATAAGATGTTAATGCATGGTACTTCGCTATACGAAAATTTGAGAATTAATTACTGTCACTGATAAATTACTAGATAAATTACTAGATAGTATTACTAGGATCATAATACGGCAATAAAGACCAATGTCACGTAACGAAACGCTGAAGAACTCGGATCCACAGGTTCACGTCTCTTAAACTACACTACGTTACACGGAGTTGAAGGTGTAGGGTGAACGCAATGCTCACACCGATTAAAATAAAACGTTATCCTCGTGGAACGCTATAATTTATCCGGATCCCACGCCGGCCTCCGAGGCTCCAGCTTTCACGATAATGAGAACGCGTATTAAGCTTGGCCGAGTTGGAGAAAAGGAAGACCGGGAAGAAAAAAAATCGGAAAATAGGTAGAAAAATATATAAAACACGACCCTCACTCCAGTCCCACGTTCACGGATCTTAATGCAATTTTGCCCAGCCCCGCCGGGCCAGGCAAACAGATTTTTCGAGCGGATCACTCGCGTTCGTTCCTCGCCATTTTCTCCGTGGAACTTTGAAAACCTGTTCTTCCGGCTCGAGTCGCAGGCTACGTCCAAAACGTTAAAGGCCACTCGTGTCCGCGTTCCTCTTTTCGGCATTAGCCATTCTTTTTGCAAGCTGGTTAGCCCGGCTGGGGCTCGCCCAACGCGAAACATTAAACTTTGTCCCGGGAAAGGCACCGTGTGTTTCTCCCTCGCGAATGTTTCTAGCCTGTATTTTCTTTCTTTTTTCGTCCTTTTGTGTTTCCTTTTCTTTCTTTTACTTGTTTTTTTATTTTTCTCTGTATTTTTCTTTTTACGAAATACGAGGTGTTTTTTCTTCTCGGAGAAGCTGGCAGGATTCTCTTGTGACGTTAGTGACGGTGATTATGGAGACAGTCCGCGGAAGAGCAGTGGAAAAATTGGTCCCGACGCGCTTATTTCGGGCTATGTTTTGGGATTTATGTATGTCGAGGTAAAGAGGTGATAAATGGGGTTGGAAAAATGGTTGGAAATCGAGGGATGCTAAAAGGGTGCAAAAATTGGGAGGAAAAAATGTGGGGACAGGACCGCTTTTATCCTCGCTGATACATATTTTATGCTAGCCTTGAGATTTTTTAAAATCATGCTTTATGTTGCAGTAAGGAAAATATATGTAAACTGTTCGAAATTAGGGGATGTTACAAAGATATAAAAATTAGAAACTGCATATACGTGAGGATCGAATTGTTTCTATACTGATATGTCTATTTTTCATGGTAGTCTTGTGGTTTTCTTAGATTGTGATTTATGTTTCATCGAGAACGAGAAGACGTAATTGGTTGAAAGCTGAGTAGTATTAAAAAGTATGGGAATGCTTTGTGAAATATGTTATTTGAATATTTTTCTATTCGCTATCACATTTTGAATAATGATCTTGTAATTTTCTCTATTATGGGGTATATGAGAGGATCAAATTGTTTCTATAGTCACTGATATGTTTATTTTTCATAGTAGTCTTGTGGTTTCCTTAGATTGTGATTTATGTTTCACCGAGGAAGACGTAATTGCTTGAAAGCTGAGCACTATTAAAAAGGATGGGAATGCTTTGTGAAATATCTGATTTAAATATTTTTCTATTCACAACCATATTTTAAATAATTATTTTGTTATTTTCTCTATTACTTTTTTCTTTTCTCTAACTTTTATATTACGTAAAAAATTCGAAAGAACGGAAAACGTATAAAAATAAAGAAATATCTCGAAAATACCTCAAAACGAAACTTAATTTCCAACTTTTTTAATTCCTCCAAAGAATTAAGAAATACACACGCGTGTAAAACCAAATAAAAAGGTTCGATCGCGAAAGCCATGGTAAAAATATAAAATTTTGTAACAGGAATAGAAAAATTATTTAAAAAATTTCCTCTAAATCTTTCCCTCAGCCAGATTGCGAAAAAGCTAACCCAGAATGAAAGTTGCTTGTTACAACAATTTCGTTGTGCTTTTAATTCCTCTGAATTCCTTTTTCACAGCTAGATTGCAAAAAATGATCAAAAGGAAACCTCGCTTTTCAATAGTTTCATAATTTTTTTTTACCCCTTCGATCACGTTTCTTTCTTGCGACCGAATTACAAAGGACGAAGCGGAAATGGAAATTCCACGTTTCGATAGTTTCGCGGTACCTTTTTGCCTCTCGTGAATTCGAATTAGTTCTTTTCTTTGCGATTAAATTGCAAAAAGAAGGCGCGAGGAAGAGCGAAGCAACGAAATGCGTCGGCCCGTGAGTGTAGCACGATAAGAAGGTAAACTCACCGATCGTGGTGATCACCGTGAGAGAATAGAGAAACGCCCCGGCGAAGCTCCACCTCTTGTTTTCTTCAGCGCCGTCGTATCCGTTCTTTATAGCTGTTACCATTTTCTTCTGATAGTTCTCCAGAACCGCCTTTACTTTCGTTTTCCAAATCCTCTCGGAGAACACGTTCTCCTGCACGCGACAACGAAGATTGTGAGTGTGTCGACAATTTTCTAGCTCTTTAACCCATTTTCGGGGAGCAAAATTTTTTCGAAAAATTCAGGTTTAGGTAAAGGATCGAATATTGAAAACCCTGTAATCTCTTTATGGATCACACGGTGTCTATAAAAATCTCTTACGAGTGAAATAAAAATAACAATTTGATTTAATTCTTGAGTGAGTAACTGGAGAAAAATTATCATCGGAAGGTCCTTTCAAGTGAAATACACACTGAATTTTCTCCTGCAAAATATCTCTTGCAAATAAGTCGAAACCTATAAGTAAAATCTGTCGATCGTAATTCTTGCAATTGAAACTGACGTAAAATTTTCTCCAGAGAAAGTCGGAGTGAAAAAGAAAAATAGGGATAAAAATAGGAAGAAAAGGTCGTCACCTTGGAGGTAAGCTCCCAGAGGGTGGCAGCTGTCACGTTTCTCAGCCTGATCACGTCCCCCACGATGTCCATGTTGTTTCTACCCTCGATATGGGTGAAGAGGAAGGCGCCTGCTATGGTATATCCGACCACTAGGCACACTATACCGACGTTGCTGAAGAGGAAAGCTATCAGAGCCCTGGTCCAGTCCGCGATCCTCTCGCCCCACGGCTTCCGCCTTCGTTTTCTTCGCCTTCCGCCGCGGCCCCGATAACTTCCACGCTGCCAGTTTCTGCTGGACGTCGAATGCGATGCTCGATCCCCTTCCATCTTTCATCCAGCATCCGAGTACTCGAGATATCGTGGCTTTTCTTTCACACTTTACACTCGTTTCTACCAGCTTCTGACTCTATCGAGGCGTTCGAGAGTGGTTCGAGTGTGAGGTATACGGTGGTACATTATTGTTTATGGCGGTATATTCTGTAGTGAAGCAGGTGCTGAAATTGGAAAGAGAGATTTCATTGGGATTTGATAGATTCTTCCCTGTCTTCTTCCTTTTATAATAGATTGCTTTCACTCAATCTTGCTTTGGATTTCAATGTTTGTTTAACCCTTTGACTGCCACGCCGAAATCACATGTTTCCCTCAGGACGCCACGAGAGTGCACCGCTAGATGCAACATTTGTTCTAATAAAAATTTTTAATTGTTCAATTAAATCTTGTAATTAGCGGTTATATTCGAAATACACTAACTGTCAATTTTCATTCAATGTAATTTAATGTAGTTCAAGTAGTTCAAGCGCTCCGGTCATCAATGACCACCGTGACGTCACAGGAGAAACCGTGGCCGGTCATATATGACCAACGTGGCAGTTAAAGTGTTAAAAGAGATTTACTCATTGCCAAGCTGATAACATCCAAATGAATTATCGTAGTATTATAAGTGTAGGTGACAGGTGCATGATGGCACTATAATGAAACTATACTTAACACGTTAAGTGCCCAGCCCGTTTTGCTTGCCGTTTCGTTCAGGCCCAGACTCGACTGTCAAGTGGGCCACCGGCGGCGGGCGAAGTGTTCATAAAACTCGGAGATACTGTATCAATTGTTATAACAGGAATTCTCAAACGTTGGGTCCAAAAATGGCGAAGAATTTATCACCAAAAGTTAGCACCCTTTGGTCCCAGTCTGGACCGGGCCCGAACGGAAAGTCTAGTGCCGGCATGACACTTAACATGTTAATAAAATTCTAAGTAAATTATAATTAAGACTATATACTTTACACTCGCCTCTCTATTCCTATTATGACTAACTTCTAATTCAGTGTCAGAAATTTAATAGCTTATTCACGTCACATCATATTTCTATTTGTAAGGTAAATCCATCTTTACCGAGCTAATTTAATTTTATCTCGAACGAATTTTTTAGTTAATAAACGGCACGGTTAACAGATAGAGGACTAAGCACGGTAATAGGACATAACACGATTGGCTGAAGGGGTGGATGAAAACGGTATCCATTTCCAAACTGCTAACAGGCCAGTTTGCCCGTGCAACGAACCGATCATAGAATTTAACAAATGCTAGAGAAGAGGCATAATTTCGAAGTTCCTTGCGTAATGACGATGGTCGTTCGTTGCGGTTGGACGCGACGAAGATCTAACGCGCGTGAAATTCCCGCCGTACGCAATTCCCAGCGTCGCGACGCTGGAAGCGTTACGAAAGTATTTCGGTAGCCTCGTAAAATAAAAAAAGAGGCTAGGTATATAGCGTCCACTGTAAGCTCCGGGCCACCCTTTCCGCTTCTCTGTAATACGAACGTGGCAAATGTACGCTCTAAGTTATGGCGTTCTTCAGGATATAGCGGGTTATATAACGAGAGTGTGTTGAGACGAGTTTTAATAGGTTCCTTTTTTCAACTCCGTGTAATTCGTTAATTATGCTCTTTAGTTTGCTTCGAATGAGACGGGTGTGCTTAGAACCATGATCTTCTGAAAGAATAATATTTTTCCTGACCAATAATTTAGAATAAAATATTTAAATATAGCAATATTTGAAATAATATAGAATAAAATTTAGAGTAGTTCCTAAAAATGTACACACATATGCTTAAAATAGTGATCCTGTGGAAGTAAAACATTCCTCATCCTTTTTGGCGGGAAAAATTTTATTTAACCTAAAAATATAACCTATAAAATATTTATACAACGAAAGATGGGGGAATGAAGTAATACAGAAATGGAAAATAATATTCTCACCCACTTATATATAGGTATCTTCTCGAACAGTGTTTAACAATGCACGAATAAAAATTTCATATGCTGAAAAGATATAAGTTAGAAAATAGGTAAATGCGGTAAGCAGAGTAATACTATTAATAATTAAAAAGAGACGGGAACCATGGAACAGAGAAGCCAGACTCCTAACTGCAAATCAAACTCCCTTTTGAAAACCAATTTTCCAAATATCACGCTTCACCAAATCGATCTATTCCCAAAAAGCTGATCCCAAATTAATCACCAGCGTCTGTACATACATTACTCTTTGACGTTCCAAAGCGAGCGTCCTCTCCATCAACCTACCAGTCAAGGGTTGGTCCAATTCCTTCCAGTCCGTTTCCACGGTTCCCCACCTAGGTTCCTCGATAAAAGCTGGGCATCCGAGCTCCTCCGATCTCCGCGATCCGTTCCAGATAAATTAATAGGAGGAACACGGTAGAATGCTAAAAAGGGGAGCGCAGATTATACGCGATCGCTGACCCGGCGCAATAGCAAAATTACACGGCCACGTTTAATAGGAAACGTCAGTATCGTCCTGTCCCTTCTGCCTCTGAGGATTATATCGTTCGATAGGGGTCTGTTATCGACTTCGTCCACGGCTCGCCAAGAATCGAAAACGACTTAACGAAATCTATTGTCGAACCATTCACGATCCAACGACGAACCAAGGGCTTCCTTGAAGTGAAAATTCCGTTTACCGTATCTCTGTCGATCTATTCCTCATGTTACCGACCGAGTTTCTACTTTACCGATTTATTTCTATTCCGCGCTTTTACTTTTTTCTCTTTTTCCTCTGTTTTGCCTCGCGTCTATCGTCCTCCTCCGCATTTTCTCGGATGTTTTAGGATTCCTGAGGATTTTGCCAGTGATTTAGTGGCCCTCATGGCGCTTTAAATATAGACTCGTCTGCACTTTTGAGTCAGACACTCCGTCGAGACGGCACACCACGTGTTGACACGTGCTGCGGGGTCCATTCTTCTTATGCTTCCACGCTTCTTCTTATAAATCATTTTACCCATGGAATACGTCAGGTTCGGTGTTTTTCGAGAATCTCTCCAGTCATCGCGAAATTTTCGCAAATTTGATTACCATCGGAGATTATTATTTAATTAACCTCAAATTCGAAATTTCTTACTTTCGTTCGAAATTGTCCAATTTTTGAATAGTCACCGGAGAATATTTTTTTTTTACAATGGAGTCGAATAATTCTACGGAACGATTAAATTTTAAATTCTTCCAAGAAATATACACGTGTCCTCGAAATATATACGTTTCACGATCCCCTACGAATTCTTCTTAAAACAAACACCTATGTATTTCCGTCATTCGAAGCTTCGACTACGCATACACTGATCACACGAACTTTCCAATTTTTCTCGTTCGTTTAAGTTAACGTATAATTGACCACGTTCAGTCTAAGTATAGTATTTGCGAAGTTTGACGAATCAGTGTTACAGTTTCATTCATGTTAAGGCTCGACAGCGATTATTCGCGACACTGTATACGTTTTCTCGGAAGTTTTGTCCTTTCGTGTTAGTTACAGATAATTGAGGGAGAACAAACCGCTTCCTCGAGGTTCTCCCGCGTACTGATTCGGTGCCACTTGGTTCGAGACGTGGAACTGAAAATAGCGCGCCACCAAAAATAACCGCATCCAACGCTGGCCGCCCCTGACCAGCTGCGGACTTGCCGGACACCCGGTAAATGCGACTGTACTCCGGAACGTCTCCGTCACGCCTTGGAAATTTATCACCGGCGCCGGTTTCTTGCGTACTTATATCTTGGAAGTACACCACTGTTCCTAAGTATTACGACACCTGCTGGGGCCTCGTGTTATTAGAACCTTGTGTTGGGTGTTTAAAAAATACCCTAGTATTGTTTAATTTCTTAACGTACCAATTTTTCTCGCATTCACTATTCAATTTTTATTTAATTTCTTAGCGTGAAATTTATCGTTTATTTGTTGTTAAATTTTTGTTTGACTTTTCATCGGTTTGCTTTTAAATTTTGAGGAATTTTTTTTTACTAGGGAATCGGGGAATTAAAGAGTAGAAGATATTTTATTTTATTTATTCTGATTTTTTCGAATATGTTTTTTAGGCAGGATAGATTCGAGTATAAAATTTTAGTTTGATCGATAATTGATAATTATGAAGGTGTCGATTCGGTGAACGAGAAAGTCGTGATTGAGGGAAAGGGAGATTGGAGCGTTGATTGCCTTGATTCTGAGACGGGGAATCCCAGAACCAGTGCAAGGGTTTTTCCAGCTTGTTGCATGTTATCCAAGCTGCGAAACAGCGCGTGACCAAGCTCGCATCTTGAACTATTATACCTCATAAATTTAGATGAGGAGTTCATTCGCGCTTAATTTTCTAAACGTTATTCAGCACTGAGTTCAATGGCTACTTCAGAGTTAAAATCTGTGAAGTTTAACTTGGTTAATAGTGATTAAGAACTAATGGCGTTTTTAATTATTATTTACCAATAAAATATAATAATCTTCATATAGGAATTACTCGATTTAATAGTCCTTGCTTAAAAATAAAAATATCGCGTTAACACTAGAATTAGGTTAACCTAACCTAATTCTAAACTACAATAACGTATAAATAATTAAATTGATAATTGCAAATAAAAGTCGATATTTAATTTAACTTAAATCAATTGTATATTTCCAACAAGTTTAATTAAATGTCATATTTTCTTTATACATCGCATATCAAACCGAATCATTAAACTCCAGCCACAGTATTATTAGTATACCGTCCAATTTTGCAATCATACCATGCGAAACTGCGCAGGTGTATATCTAAAATGATAATTAGAAACGGAGAATTAAATATACCAAATCAACCAACAATCGTTTCCAATATAGGAAGAAAAAATGTTATTTCTTCACAATAATTAGTTACTAATCTTTTAATAAACTAATCACTTATTCTTTCACTGCGTAAAAATTCTCAAATCAAAAGACTCCATACTACCACCATAAGAAATATCGAAAAAATGGAGAATTACTTTACAAATAAATGCCGACAAATGTTTTACAAATCTTCCTCCCCTATTCCCAAATGAAGAATAAACGAAGAACCGAGATCTCGACCTTCGATCCAGAAATCCCTAGTTTCCCCCACTTCTTCCCAGTTTCCCTCACTGTTCCCTAGTTTTCCCCCATTTCTCCCTAGTTTCCCCCATTTCTCCTCGATTTCCTCGTTGTTCGAGAAATGCAATCGCGAGGCCCATTTGAACGCGTTTAATTACCAGGCAGACGCGAAGAGAAGAGGCAAAACGGGGAAAGAAATGGAAGCCAGAGGAAGAAGGAGAGGAAGAAGCTCGTGTTCGTGAATGAAAAGAAATTCGGGCCGCGGGGTTGGCTACGCGACGGAAATTCCGCGAACGTTTCTAGCCATCGAGTGACATCGAGGGGTATCGAGGACGTAGCCCTCGAGCTCGTTGTCGACCTCGTCGTTGTATTCGACGTCGTACGCGTCGTAGTCGTCGGCATCTTCCTCGTCGTCACTCTCTTTGATGATCCCGAGCCTCTTCGCGACGTTCTTCACGTTGTTGATGACCTCCTCTTGCACCAGATTAAAGCTCATCGCCAGCAAAGCAATTCCAAATAACAAGTACAGCGAGCAAACCGCGATACCTTTGTGGGCGTCCAGCTTATATGCAGGAACGAAGTCACCGAATCCTGCAATCGAATCGATAAATCGAATTTTTATTTCCCTTAAATCTTTTTCATTTCAATTCCTAGACACAATTGAGACGTATCGTGGTTCTGAACAATGTTGGAAAAGAATACTTGAAGATTTGTGCTTTTCTTTCTCTTGTTAAATCGTTAACCGAGGTACCTTTTCGTTGGATGTTTTATTCGTCGTGAAATTAATGATTGCATCGAGAATTTTAGCGAGGTCAACTTTATTTTATATTTCTGAGAATATAAATGGAGCACGGTGCATGATGAATGGGAATATCAGAATTTTTAATCTTTTGTAAGATTGGGAACTGAATTTTTTACCGGTTTCATTAATTTTGTTACGAGAGTAAGAGATTTATTGGAACATTATTTTTTCCATTTGGTATCGCTCGAATTTCATTTTCAGAGTCCACGTGGAGATTCTAAGTCGCTAATTTCTGTTCGATGAAGCACGCACAATGACGAAAAGGTGAATGAACTTGTGGTGTACAAAGGGTGAATGAACCTCTCTTGTGTTAGAAGCGAATGACGAGTGTTTAGGGAAGTGTGGAAGTTATCGAGTGGCTGTTTGGGACGAGAGGTTCGATTAGAGGGAACTTTTGGCTGGGGAAGGTGTGAGGCGAGTGTTCGATGTACGTGTGATACTATTGGCAATGTGGGAGGAACAAGGGCTAATTTTATTTCGATTCTCTGAGCCGAAAGGTAAATTAAGGGACGAAGTCGAGTTAAAATAGAACAAGATACAAAAATGAACAAATTTTCTTTAACAAGGGTTCTTCAGAATTCCCAAATTCTTTAACATTCCACAATTAGTACTAAAAAAAAAAATATTAAAGTAAAGTCCAATTCTAAATAACACTAAATGATACTAAATCAAATTTCCCCAAAATTTTTATTCGTTCATTAAATCATTTTCTAATATTTTCTTAATAAAGGTCCTTTAAAATTTCCAAATTGAGGCTATGAACGAGATATAGTCTTAAATAGGGTATTACAAGAATGCTAGTCAAGCAATTTAAAAAAAGAATATAAGGAGCTGTACTAACCTATAGTGGTAAGAGTAATAAAGCAAAAATATGCAGAATCGAGGAATGGCCAATGTTCCCAAGCGCTGAACAAGAAGGCGCCACCAAAAATGTAACTAACCACCAGGAAGACGCACAGCCATATTGGTACCGGCTTTATCGGCTGCTTCTCCGGATCATCGTTATAGTACTCGTAATCCGAGTCGAAGTCATCTACGTATATTTGTCTATGTACAGGAAAACCAGGCGGGGACATTAAATCCCCTGGTAGCGTGTCTCTTCTGTAAGATCTCGCTTTTTATCCAGCAATAAAACGAGTAATAAAAAAAGATTAATAGTTAAATAAACAAACAAATAGATAGAAGAATAATAGAATAAATTATAAACGAATAAAATAAAGATAAATAATTCACAGTTGTGAAAGGAGATATACAGGGTGTCTCAGCAATGGTAGTACAACTGTAAAGGGGGTAATTTTACATGCAGAAACGAATCGAAAATACGGAATAAAATTTTTTAATTCGAAGCTTCGTTTTCAAGAAAATCGTCTTTAAAAATCCACCAAGTGTATGTGCACTTAGCTATGGTTATAGTTTAGATATATCATCAATATATAAGTATCGGTGGTATAATAAAAAAAAGTAGGTGATTCTACATGAAAGAACGAATAAAAAATAAAGAATAAAATTTTTTAATTCGAAGCTTCGTTCTCGAGAAAATCGTCTTTGAAAATCCACCAAGTGTATGTGCACTTAGCTATGGTTATGGCTTAGATGTATCACTGATACATGAATATCGGTGGTATAATAAAAAAAAGTGGGTGATTCTACACGAAAGAACGAATATAAAATAAAAAATAAAATTTTTTCATTGGAAGCTTCGTTTTCGAGAAAATCGACTTTGAATATCCACCGGATACACGTGGACTGATGGTCCATCCGCCTCAGCCAAAGTTAAGTGCACGCGTATGTATATAAAGGAGAAATAGGATTTATATGAGAAATATATTTACCAACGGGATAGTTGTACCTATAACGCCTGCTTCTGGAAATCTGGGACCTTCTGGAGTTCTCCAGCTCTAAATAAATCGAGGACGGTCGTAAAGGCGGGGCCAAGTTGGTCCTGTAGTTGCTGGTCGCACCTTCCACCGATAAGCACCTTCTGGGCAACGACCTAGTCGCTAATGGTGCTCGCTTCTCGTCATTTTCAGGGCTACCTATCACCTCTGGATCCTCCGGTGATTTGCTCGCATTGCCTACTGCGAATGACGCAATGATATTTATTATGCAGAGGGATTAAACCCGGCATCCGTTCAATTTTCGCACATCGCGAGATTTATCTCTCTTAAAACAGATTTATGACTGTTATTCTCTGTAAGATATTTGTACGAGACACGTCGTAAATCTGGCTGCAAGCGTTGGAAATGCAAATAGACCGATCGACGATTGCAGACGAATTGAAACTGCGAATAAATGGCGAAAATGCGTATAAAGGGGATTGGAATTGTAAATGAACGAAGTGACATTGGTGCAGGAAGAAATCCATCAAAAAACAAATGGATCAGTGGGGAGGGGATGTAAAGAAATATATTTAGAATGTAAACATAGAGTCCGAGGATGTGCCAGATCACCGAGCGAACGTACAATCTAAGATCGCGAGTAAATCGTCAAGTGATATAAAGAAGCCATAAAAGAATCTAAATAGATTACTTGGCACTGCGAACGGGTAATACTGGAATGTAAACAGATAACCAAGCCATGTAAACAAACAATCCAGGAAAGTAAACACATCACCAATATGTAAACAAAGAATCCAAGAACGTAAACAAACCACCAAGCAAGCTAAACAAGCCATCCAAGGATGCAAATAGATCACCAAATAGATGCAGATAAACCATTCAAGGACTCGAGGAAGCAAATTAAACGCGTAATCAACTCGACAAAAAACGTAAATAAACAAACGAATAATGTAAACAAATCAGCATAGGATATATTGCATTTGACTCTTTGATTACTGTAGGTGCCTAAAGGCGCTTAGAAATGTTGCATTTGTGACACTGTAGGCGCTTAAAAACGCTTAAAAGTTTCGTTTGCTGCTAAATTTTAAGTCCAGTAACCATTTAATGCAGAATACAAAGAAATAAACAATGTTGTTTTAATACAGTGGAATACAATGTTTCGATTATTACTAAAATATGCAATAATTTTTCAGAAATGCACACCTAGTGAAAAATTTCACCGTTCTCAATGTACATCGCAAATGGATTCCTACCGTATGGTATGGCTGGTGCGTTTTAAAGTCTACTATAGTCAAAGACGTAAATGGACAATCTAAATTATTTTATTGATTATTGCAAATTACTGTCATACTCTTGCTACCGCATAATTACTTTTGCTTCCGGCGGAAGTCTGCCACTGTTGCAGCTCGTTCTCCAGGTCATCCAAGGCGTATTTATTGCACAAAACCGGCGAACGATCAGTGTCATTCGGCGAACGCATCAGCAACTTCCTGTCAAGCGATTGCGTCGTCATCTTGGGACTGGCTAAATGCAATCGTCCTTTAGAAGCGTTCCTATATTCCAACGTGAAAATCTCGAGAAAGGTTTCCAGATACCTGTGCTCGACTTTGCCACCGGTATATCCGAGTACCTGGACATGGTCGCTGACCTGACTCCAAAATTCGGGTTCCCAGAGGACGCGTAGGAACTGGGCCTCCTCTGCTCGTCATCCTCGTATCGACGAGTACTGTACCTCGATTCGAATGAACACACTTTGTTTCCATACGAATATTTTACTATAACTAGATCTAGGGAGTTTCGGGACTCGAAATTATCATTTCGGTGAAATATTAATTACCAAAGTTAGGAAAATTAGCAAATTGATGAAACCTATTCGTGCAAGTACCTAACATCTTATGGATCAACGAATAATTCATAAATCATCGGTCACTAGGGTAATAATTTAGGAATTAGGAATAATAATTTATATTGTATAGGGTAATATTATTATTATACCGACATTATTTACAGGTAAAACATCTAGTGAATCATTCGTAAATTATTATTCCTAAATTATTATCTAATTATCCTATATATATCATTCCTAAATGATTATTCTTAAATTATATATTAATTTATTATTAATATAATTATACATAGGATATATAATATATAGGGTAATTAGATGATAATTTAGGAATAATAATTTACGAATGATTCACTAGATGTTTTACCTGCAAATAATGTCAGTATGCTAAGAATTGAATTAACAAATTGCAACATACTTATAGTCTACGTCAGAGTACGACAATCTTGCCAGACCTTCGGACAGGCCCAAGGCTGAATCCGCAGACCTCTGACTCACTCTCATGGATCTTCGAAAGCCACCTTTGCTTCCACCATATCGCCTTTCCAAGAATACCATGTTAACGTTCGTATTTCGAATATCGTTTAATTAATTATGCGAATAAATACCCTGGTTGTCGCATGGAGTAGGACCTAGCAAGGTGTGGCCTGGGTCTCCTCCTCCTGGGTGGCTTCGTGCATATGTAGCAGCACACTCTCCAATATAGAAATCTGATGGAAAATTAATTATTCTCCTTATACGAATTTCTTTTTGGTAGTAATTCCCAGGTCGCTAATAAATTTATATAAATTTATAAATATATAATGTATATAACAAATTAGTTTCGGTCAAATCGGTCTCTTTTGACGTTAGACTAGCGTCGAATGATTAGAAAATGCGAATCGGGTGCATTCTCGCGTATTCTGTGCGATTTACCTGAAACTCGAAGCCATGATGTCGCCTATGTTGGAGAGACAGAGCAACATGAGGGGAATCCCAACGATGGCGTAGAATATGGTCACCACTTTCCCGTTCTTGGTCTTCGGTGCGATGTGGCCGTACCCTAGCGCCGAGGAGTGCTCAATTAGCCTTGTGTAATCGTCCGCTCACGTAATGCGCGATTAATTTTCTTAGTTGGAAAGTTACGATCCTGGTTTTCTCCAGAAGTGAGCCTATCTTTCTCGGGAATCGTTTCCACCGTCATTTCTACCGCTCTAATGTCACTTTCCCGAGTGGAACATCGATTGCAATGTCTGGGCATGTACTTACAATTAGCGGATTTTAATTCGAAATTTGGCCAACTCGGTGAAAACTTCATTGGACTGTCATGACGATTGGAGACTTTTGAAAAATTTGGAAATTCTTATTTCGGAATTCCTTTGTTACAGGCGTGGAGATATAGAATTAGGTTTTAGGAACTTTTTTAACTTTTAGAAGTTGAAATTTGGAAACTATCGAATTTCTACGAGTTTACAGAGATTTCAAATTTTCCTTTGGGATAAATTTTCATTTTAGATATTACTGATAATTTTATAAAGAAGGATCATAATTTTTAAATAATTGGTATTTTTATTTTACTTTTACTTTATTAGGATTCCTTTACTTCAGAATAAGCATATTCCAGAGAAATCACCAGAAATCCTAATTTTCAGAATTTCCAATATTCACTTTAATTCTGAATAGAGTTCCCATATTTTTTCCTGAATATCAACTTACGACCTAACTTAACCTATGCTAATTCTAAATTACAGTAATAATTCCCTAATATTTATTTTCGACTTAATTTCTGCTCAGACTTAAAATACGAATATTTCACATAATTACTTCGCTATTTGGATTTCTCAAGAAACGATTCTCGTGTTCTCAACCTTGTCTAAATATTCTTAAGGTCGACACTCTGAATACTCGGAAGACCCGTCAAGGTCGAGCCAGCCTCCACTGATTTCATAACAAGAAGCCTTTCTTCGTCTCGTAGATTCATCCTGCAGTCTGGGTCAAGGTCACTTCGCCTTCGACCACTATTTACGATCACTATATCAGATGTTAACAGCAACAACGTTTCCTATCTGTCGTAATTCGCGTCTTCCAGACGGTGGTCGATAAGGAAGATTTCTATTTTGCATTCTTTTTTCTCCATTTATTTTTTTCTTTTTTTTTCTTTTTTAATTGCTCTAATTAACAATTGAGAAAACCGAGAGAGAGCAGGAAGATGGAGAAGATTGAGCGCATCCGCCGGAAGTAGCCGAGGATCGATCGATCGAACACAAAAGCAGAGCGGTTGTTCCAGCTGGATTTCGGAACGCAACTCGGTCACGCATTATGAGCCTTTGTTTGTTACACGATTTTTCCACCAGCATATGTAACCAAATTAATCGAGAAAATTCGAAATTTCGCATGTATGGGTTGTTGGATAATTCGAGGAATTTTGGAGATTTTTAATCGAAGAGGAAATCACTCGTGGAGTCATAGAGATGAAAAATGTCTCAGTTTCTAGTTTCTGGAAGATTTGAACTTCAAATTAGTATCAATAGAAATTTAGTATAGCTGAGTAGAATTTTTTCTTTACTAATTTTATCGAAGTCTTGAAAAATTATTTGAATGTCATTATCTTCAAAATCCTTAAAGTCTTCCATAAATAAAAGTTTGGTGTTTAAATCAAATTTAGAACCAAATAAAAGAACAGGAAATGAAAACCAAAGAAAATCTAATAAAATAATTTAAAAAATGAAACCTAATATATGTACATACGTGTACTGATATTATTCCAAGTAAAAATCAGTTGATAAAAATGATATACGTCTAATAATAAATAAATAAATAATATATAATATTAATAAATAAATTATATACGTCTAATGATTAATAATAAATAAATTATATTATCTTCCGTCATTTCCTAAAAATTAGCCAAGAAACAGATTTTTCGAAGCAAAGAAAAATTGAAGAAATCGAAGCGACTTGTTTCGCACGTTTGGAGAAGTTTGTCCCTTTTTCCACAGTTGTATTTTTCAACACGTTATCACAAAGAATTTTCGCAACGAACCTAACGAATTTAGCGGTCCCTTTTCGTCGTGCAACCGTGAAACGGTTAATCGACGAGATCGTTGGCTAGCAACGCGGCGCAAAAATCAAGGAAAACGAATTACGAGGCGCTGCTGGCTTCCTGTCCCGGGGGAAAAGTGAATTTCCTCAGTGGTCTCGTCGGCGTCCTCCGCGAAAATGACCTTGATCATTGGATTTTCCTTCGATCGTGCCTTTTTCCGAAACAAAGTTACTCCAACCGCGAGAAACGGTCCAAGTGGTCGGCCATTTTCTTCCGTCTATAAAAATTCCCTCCAACTTTTATCGTCTCTGATTCCAGAATAACGAAGTTAAACGAAGCACGATCATTTAAAGCGACTCGTGTCTTGAAAAGAGTTTGTTCAAACTTGCTAATTCCTTGAGATAACCAGACGCGGTAGAAAGTGAGGTTAGGAAGCGCTCTTTGTCGAAAACTTTCCATCTCTGGACCAAAATTCAGTTGGAAATAATAGATTACGAATTAATTAGGAAATAACCCTTCAGAATCCCCACATTTAGAATCTTATATTATTTTAAAATCGACATACTCTCTTCTTCGAGTTATTAGATTTGAAACGAGTTAGGTTAAGTTTGTCAGGTTAGGTTTTTCGAGTTATTAGGTTAAATACGTTACTAGGTTAGGTTAGGCGGGCACGAATCCTCTGTAATCAAAACTTTATCGACGCTAGATTATAATTTCCCAATAAAATAAAAGAAGAGATTACATAAGTTACATTACTCAAATATTTCGTAAATTTATTATATAAAATCAGTTACCGTAACTTTCATTAGAACCGGCTTAAACGAACGATTTCCATCGTGACTAATCTGACGCGAAGCAAACGATTCGCGGATTCTATAGGGAACGAAAAAAATATTGTCTTGGTAATTTAATTCGAATAAAAGACAATACAGACGTCCTTCGAGAAACAACTGACATAGTCTCGTGAAAGAATCGCGTGTTACGCCACTTCGTTGGATCCTGTCCGAAGAAAGAGGCCAAAGAACCACCTGTAATGATACCTTCTCCCACTTGCAGAACGGATTTTCCCAGATCGAAGGACAGACACGAGAAACATTGCTTTCCACGCAATGCACCCACGTGTACACTTCCAGTTACCTAACTGTAGTCACGTTCACGCACCTCGTCAGCGCCTTTTCAGCTTTTGGCTTGCGGGCACTGGCTTAAAGAATGGCTATTAGGTCAATGCTGCTCTTCTCCTCGGGATTATAGTCTGTGATGTAACAGTGCATCGATTGCTGTGCATGATAACGTACATTTACCGATTTATAGGTTGATTGGTTTCGTGGATTTGAGGTAATCGTTGTGGTTTTATTGAGCTGGTAATAATCCATGTTTGCTCGATTTGCTTGTAAGTTTGGGTAGGTATCAGATGTCTGTATTCTGGCTACAATGAAATTGTTATAACCGGATTGATAAATAACTATCTTCCATATTTCTGCTCTATATTTATCATCGATTGTCTGTATATTTTAGTTATTATTAGCTCTTTTAATTGTTAGCTCTGAATAGGTAGCTCTCACAGCTAGCTTCCTAGCTGTGAGCTGTGCAAAATGAAGGATCATTCTCGCGTTTTCTTGATGTTTAACTATACTCAACGATCCAAGTGAACCTCCTACGTCTTTATTTCCTCCATATACGTCATTGGCTAAATTCACAGCTCTGATTAAGTAGCTCTCCACTGTTCAATCTCCAGTTCCTGCGATGTAGATCTTCAACGCTGATCATACTCACGAGCTCACGAGTTCCAGCATAAATTTTCCACGTTTTCCTACCTCACATTAAATAACCATTCGTTATTAAATCCCCACCATCCAGAATTTCTATTTTCTAAGACGAAGAAGAAGGAAAGGGTTCCATCATAATTTCCCTGACGTTTCTTCTGCAAACGTCATTCGCGAAATTCACAACCCTAATTGAACATATCTCCACAGTTCAATCTTCCGTTTCCCCTATAGTCTTTAACATTCATCATTCTCACGAATCCAAGTGGACGTTCCACCATGGATCAGTTTAATTATCAATTTCTCCTGGAACCCGAGCGCCCCGTAAACGAGCCTAATCACCGCAACGATAACACCTGGAAAACGAGCCACGGAAGGGGCGAATCACCCCTGGACGAGCACTGTTGATCCGAGATCGTTATCGAACGAACCTCGAAACGAGCCACACGGTGCGTTCACCTTCTGGCAGTGCATATATAAAGACGCGATTCGCTTTCACTCTCGTTTTAGTCGACCGTCGGCGATATTCACAAGTGTAGCTGACCCAACTCGGTCCCAGAACAGGTCTGTGGAACGATGGCTACTTTATTCCTTTTCTGTTACGTCACTGTGGCCCTGGTAGCCGCTGAGAACGATGACGGGTGGGTGTGGAAGGACAAAAGCCAGCAGAAGGGTGACATCGACAGATCTAGGTGTGTTTTAACCCCTATGGGTATGCAATTAGACGTGTTTTCCTATTCGATCATATGTGAGATTCTCAGGTGTGTGGAGGCCGATTATACTGGGTGTACCTCGATATTCTTAAAAAGCCATTTTCTTTTTTAGTGATACAGTTAGCTCGAGGAAAATTAAGTGTCATTATCTTCTAGTTAATCTTTCACATTGTAGATAATTTATTATCGTTCCTCCGAAAATTAAATAAACGAAGGTAATCGCGTTATATGGTTATTGACACCCTGTGTGATGGTTATTGTAATTTATAATTATTTGTAATCTTCGAATAATTATGCAAGGTTCGTAATTAGTATTGTAAGGTTGACAAGTTGTAATTAATATCGTAATTAGAGAAAGAGCAATTAATTTTGGGAATGGCTTTTGTGCGTCGAATGTGTAATACGCATACGTGACATAATGCTTCTACTTGTTGGATCAAATGCAGTGGATATATGACGGAAAATAATTTTTATTTTTCACTATTGCGTGGATATTTCTTTATTTTCAGAGTTTCCCTCAATTTGTTATTTTCCGTTTCGTGGT